GTGGGGGCAGTACCCAACCTAAACCCTCAACCGCGCTTATTTGCAACAGGAGCCCTTCGTCGAGCTCATGAAGTCGAGTCTGCAAACTTTTCTCAACGCATCGCGTTGAAAAGATCCAGGGTTCAAGTACAGAGTCGCATGAGGTGGTGGGTTCTTCCAGTTTTCGGGTTTAGGGTTTTTTGGTTTAGGGTTTTAGGGTTTAGGGGTTAGGGGTTAAGAGTTCATGGTTAGAGGGTCTAAGCGCCGAGTAACTTAGTACGTGGGATTGGGGACAAGCGATTGTAATCGTAGAATCTGGGACATACCTGTGGATCCTTCAGGACTTTCCATAGTCCAGGTGCGACGGGGCCTGTTGTTTGAGGATCTGGGATTGAGTCTGGTTTTGGTTTCGGTCTTCAGGAGAAGCTGAACTCAAATCCTAAACCCTAAACCCTAAACCCTAAAACCCTAAACCCTAAACCCTAAATCCTAAACCCTAAACCCTAAACCTCTTTGCCTTTACTCCCCTAAACCCTAGGATGGCAGCCTTGACCACCTCAGGGACGCTCATGAGCTTCTTGTTTCTTTCATATACCTAGGTTGCTGTCAAGGAGCTTAGTTTAAGTTGCTATATTGGGGAAACCCAACTGCTTTACTACATGAATATATACCCATTCTGGTACCTGAAAAGAAGTTCATTAACAGCAGCCCAGATAAGCGACGTCTAGCTTCTGAAGTACTTTTAAACCAACTACGCAAGATCACCTTCGTTACCTCGAAATTTTCGTTGATCGGCGATGCCATATATGTGTGTCAACATAGCACCCATACCAGCTTGCTGAACTAAACTCTGTACAGGGGACAGCGCAAACTGTTATCTATAGTTCCTAAACCCTAAACCCTATACCTGAACCCTAGACCCAACACTAGACCCACAATAATCCATAGATCCTAAACTCTAGGCCCTAAACCCCAAAGCCCTAAACCAGACCCACAGTAATCTATAGGTCCCAAACTCAAAGCCCTAAACCCCAAAGCCTTACACCAGGCCTACAATAATCTATAGATGCTAAACCCTAAGCCCTATACCTAAACCCTAAAACAACCTTACACCAGACCAACAGTACCTGTTACCTCGAGAACCCTTTGCTACCTGGTGACCAGTAGGGACTGAGTGAATGGAAAAAAGGGAGACGGCTGTTTAACGGGTTTAGGGTCTAGGGTTTTCATGGGTCCTCTTACTACCCCCCTCTATACTACCCCCCCCGTAGGTTTCTCATTGAATTAAGGGGGAGCCTAGGGGGGGGATAGTATAGAGGGGGAGGTAATTGGGGAACCCATGAGTTTAGCGTCGAGGGCTAAAGCAATTCAAGATTTTCGCATTAACAGCAGCACCTATCTAATCGTAGTTTGCATTTCATGTTCAAATGTCTTTTCCATTTGGTTCCACTATCATAGGGATTGGGGTTACCAAAATCGTCTTCTGAAGGGTTGCGGCAGTGGCTGAAAGCTGTGTTCTCGCCCCCAACAATTTAGGGGTTTAGGGTTGAGGGGTTAGGGGGCAACGCAGACATGAAGCATGTAGCCTCGACTAATGCCAGCTAGCGGTTCAGAGTCGGGGGTATCCAGCACTCCTTGACCACGATACTGTACCCCAATTTTTGGGGCGTACCTAAGTTTATGTTCTGTATCTTGAAAATGCAACTTACGACCCCTAACCAAAGGGTGGGTAGGGTTCTACTTGGAGGATCTTTGGACTTAGTGTGTAGTCTGCTATCCCTAACTGCAAATACTGTACGCCTTATAACCCAAGTTTCTAAGTAGATGTATATACTTAGTCAAGAGATCCTCTAATCCTGAACCCTAAATCCTAGACCCTGAACCTTAAACCCGAACCCTTAAACTTTAAATTCAGAGGCTGCCCTGGAGCTCCAAGTCCTTAACCTTAACCCAAACTTTGAAGCCTCTTGAGTCATGAGAAAAATTTGGTAACCCCAACCCTCCCAAAAGTTAGAACGCTACTGGATCCATCTGAGCATCATAGGGTCCTAGTTTTAGGGGGGTTGGGATCGCTCAAAATCCCTTTGTCATTGAAGGCAATGACCTTCCCGGACCGGACGTGCTATCCGGTTGCCAGCTGCAATCTCAAGGCCCTGTCAAGCTCAAGTTTTATGGGTCGAACCACGCACTTCTTTCCCATTTTTCCGATACTACGCTTTTCCAGGATACCTGAACCCCAACAGTATGTAGAATAACGGCCTTTTGGGCTATTTTTGAGGGTTTTGGGCCATCATTCTACCTACTTTTGGGGTCCAGGTAGACCGCGAAGTTTTACGGCTACAGCCCACCTTTAGATAGAATATGGCTCTGGGTATGTTATAATAAAATCCGGATATACTCCATATTCTATCTACTTAAGGGGGACTATAACCCTAAACCCTGAAACGCGCATGACACTTTGGTGGACATGGTTTCCAAGTGCTGAGCCGTATATGTTCTTGACTTCAACGCCATTATTACGATTTAGGGTTTAGCGTCTGAGCTCCTGAAGAGGGTTATGCAGGGGATAGTTTAGGGGAGTATTATATGGTAGTTTCCCAAAATAAGGGGACCCCAATATAGACCCCAATATCCTTATTATGGGAACCTCCAAAAAGGTACCCATAATTTTGGGAAATTCCCATATAGGGCTATTCAGGGGACACCAGGAGTTTAGACTACAGCTCAAATCTTGAATCTGAAGCCCTGCATTTGAACCATGCGCCAGGAATTCACCCTAAACCCTAATACCTTAGGAGGACCCCCCA